AATAATAAAATAAAATTGCACAATAAAAATGATCAAAGGATCCGCACAGACGTTTTGTAAAACAAGCATACGAAGAGCTGTCAAGAATCACTATCAGAGAAACACACTCAAAACCACAGGGACACACCCGCTTAGAATATCTGTTAGCAACAGCAGTAATGGGAGAAAACCGCTGGTGACCATGTGGGGGAAAGAATGTAAATGACCGTAGCCTTTTTGGGAAGCAACATGGACATTCCCCCCAAACTGAAAATATAACTCTTGTGGGACCCAGTTATCCACTAGCAGGTATTTATCAAAAGAAAGGGAGGGAGGGTCCCCAGAGAAGGTGCAGTAAAATACTTGTCATGCAAGCGTGAGGGCTAAGTTTAGATCCCTGGCCCTGGCCAGGTGAGTGAGCGGCCAGGTAAACAGACACAGCTCCCTGAGCTCACTGATAGCATGCGGAACTGAACAGATTCAGTGAAAGCCATTGCTTCAGCCTGAGGCCTCACATGCACGCATCCCTATACGCACATGCTCGTGCACGCATCCCTACACGCACATGCTCGTGCACGCATCCCTACACGCACATGCTCGTGCCTTCATGCATCCATCAAAAGTACCGTTTTGCCATGGAAAAGAATGGAGTCTTTCAATTTGTGGCAACACGGATGGAACCGCAGGACACAGAATGATGCAGGCTGTCTCTTACATGTGGGTACTTAGAGAAACACTGAAGATGGTTGCTTAAAAGAAATCCCACACGGGCTGGAGAGATGGCTCAGAGGTTAAGAGCACTGGCTGCACTTCTAAAGGTCCTGAGTTCAATTCCCAGCAAACTCATGGTGGCTCACAACCATCTGTAATGAAATATGCTGCCCTCTTCTGGCCTGCATGGACATATGCAGACAGACCACCGTATACTTAATAAATAAATAAATCTTTAAAAAAAAAAAAAAGAAATCCCACACTATCTCAGAATTGAGAAATAGATGGTTATTTATTTAGGGGTAAACTCACAAATCAGAATCCTCCGCTTGAATGAAGAACAGAAACTGAAATCTTGAATGGAGAACAGAAACTGAAATCCCCAATGGGAACAGAGAGAAGCCGGAAAAAGAGACCGGTTGCTAACTACACACACACACTCACACATATATGTATGTATATTATATATATATATATATATATATATATATAGCACAAGAGGCCACGCCCCAGTGGGCGGGACACCACTAACTGTAAGACTTCCTACAGCAAAACACCCGGTGGAATCAGAGTCGGCTTTTGTTAGGATGAAGTACTGGTGGCAGCGTCATCTAAAGATAAGGTTTGTCTGTGCTCAGTTGGGGGCTTAGCACAGCAGCTTCATAAACTCAGGGTCAGTGAGGAGCTTGTGTGTGATGGATGACCGAGTCACCCGACGGCTCACCCACTGAGCCATGTCTCCCGGTTCCCTATTTTAATTTTTTTAACTAAAAATTTCAATTTTTGTCATTTTTTAATCAAGCATTTTTTCTTCTGTGCTTGTAAGAATTTGTACAGAGATTGTTTAGAGCAAGTAGGGCATTTTAAATACTTAGATATGTTTCATACTTTAAAATATTGAGGGCTGGAGAGATGGCTCAGAGGTTAAGAGCACTGACTGTTCTTCCAGAGGTCCTGAGTTCAATTCCCAGCAACCACATGGTGGCTCACAACCATCTGTAATGAGATCTGGTTCCCTCTTCTGGCCTGCAAGTATACATGCAAGCAGAACACTGTGTATGTAATAAATAAATCTTTAAAAAAAAATTGAGGGGCTAGGGAGATGGCTCAGTGTTAAAGTGTTTGCCGTGCCAGCATGGACACTGGAGCTGGATCTTCAGAACCCACATAGATGCTGGGTGGGTGTGTTGGTTGGCCTGCTCGTAATCCCAAACTCCAGCTGTTGGAGGTGGGGTTCCCCAGAGCAGGCTGGCCTGCCCTGTCAGTGGGCTTTGGGTTTGATTGAAAGACTCTTGTAATAAATGGACCTCACTGTCTTGTTCCTTGTGACTTAAATTAGGTTTTGGGCTCTTACCTGGCTATAGAGCGAGAACTAGCTAGGCTTATAAACGGTTTTGTTGCTGTTGGATTGGTGATGGGGCTGTGTTGCACGTGTGCTATGGCGTGTGTGTGTGTGTGTGTGTGTGTGGCTCTGTGCTGTGGTGTGTGCGTGTGTGTTGCACATGTGCTGTGGCATGTGCGTATGTGTGTTGCACGTATGCAGTGGTGTGTGTGGAGGTCAGGGCTCATCTGTAGAGTTGGTTCTCTCCTTCCACCTTTACTTGGTGAAATTCCAGGTCCTCAAAGAGGAGTTTGAAGAGGGCTCTTGGCCCTGGTCCTGCCTTTCTTGGCAGAGAGAAGAGACCAGGAGCTGTCCCAGCCTCCATCTGACCCCCCAGTCACCTTTGTATGCAGGGAGTTCTGTGACCTGTAGCAGCCTTCAGTTTGTTTGGTAGGGGAGGGAAACTCAGATCATCGCAGGGCTTCAAAGCCAGCACTTTTACCCACAGAACCGTCTCACAGGCCCCTGGTGGGTTCAAGCTGCTTTCGCTGGTACAGTCTCAGCTCCCAGACTGTGGGGAGACACCAATTCTGAACACTTCCTGCAGCCCACATGCTCTGAGGATCTGAACTTTCCAACTCTGGAACGTGCAGTTTTGCTGTTGACCGTCGCTGGGTCTAACTGGTATTCCGTAAGAATATTGAACAATGTGAACAGCAACTAAGGGGGTAATGTCACTTAACCCTTTAAACCTGTGATTGGTGATGTTTTCCAATCCTGTTAAGGGGCTGAGTGTGGGGTGGGAAGGAAGATATCTAAAGCGTGTACAGGAGGCCCTGAGATGGTTCTGAGGTGGTCAGGTGGGGAGGAACTTTTGCCACCAAACCTGACGACCTCAACCTCAGTTTGATTCCCAGAACTACATGTTGAAGGAGAGAACCAGCTCCCCAAACTTATCCTCTGATCTCTACACATATTCTATGTCATGCATGCATCTACATAATATTCATACAAAATAAATGCTTTAAAAAAAAGTCAGCTGTGATGGTGTGATGACTTTAATCCGAGCACACAGCAGGTAGAGAAAAATGGATCTCTGTGGGTTCGAGGCCAGCCTGGTCTATATAGCAAGTTCCAGGTCAACTGGATGTACATAGCAATACCCCCCCCCAGGAATAACCCCTTGAGCTGGCCAAATGACTCCGTGGGTGAAGCAGCTGCCCCCGAGCCTGATGCTGACTGTGATTCCTAAGGACCAAGTGCCCCACACAAACACATACACAAAACAAGTCAGAAAATGGCTAAAACCCTTGTGCACGAAAGTAGAAATGGGGCCATCTGGGGAAAGGAAGGAGACAGGGAAACGGGGACGGAAGGGGCAATGGCCATGGACATGGTTTGTTTAGATGAGAATGTCATTGTGAAGTCCTTCACATCATGATTGTGCCCTAACTTTAAAACCTTAAGAAAACTAAGAAAAGGAAGCAAAGAAGGAAGCAGACATTTAAAACCATGTGATATTGTATTTGAAATAACAGAGTGGACTTCAAGAGTTACAATATCAAGCCGGGCGTGGTGGGTCGGATTGTCTAAGCACTTGGATGTGATGATGGTGGCCGACTGTGCCAGCGGTGAGGCTGAGCCTGTCACCCAGCACGTGCCGTGGAGGTGGAGCCCAGACAGGAGGACTTGAGGCCAGCCAAAGCCACATGAAACCCTGTCTCAAAAACTCAAAAGCAAAACAAAAGCCCATTTAAAAAAAAAAAAAAAGCCATGAATGATGTCCCCAAATTTCAAAGGCATAATTAAGTAAAGTTAGCAGATGCACTTGAATTAATGAAATTGGGCTTTTTCCATTCGGGGACAGACCTGGCACAGTCACATAACTGTATTTTTGTGTCCACTTTGTTACGTAGCCAAACCTTTCCTTCACTTTGGTTATGATGTGAAATTTGAGTTTAGGTAACAGAAAGATAAAGGGAAGGCTGGACAGACGGCTCAGATGTTATGAGAGAGCACAGCTCTTGCAGGGGACCCAGGTTCAGTTCCCAGGACCCCTGCTAGGTAGCTCACAACCCGTGCGCATACTCCACAGCTCACAACCACCCGTGCACACACCCCCACAGCTCACAACCACTCGTGCACACCCCACAGCTCACAACCACTCGTGCGCATACCCCACAGCTCACAATCACCCGTGTACACACCCCACAGCTCACAACCACTCGTGCACATATCCCACAGCTCACAACCACTCGTGCACACCCCCACCACCACCACAGTGAAGAAAGGTTTAAACATGCGGATGGAGCGGCTTTCCCTCCTTTCTCTGACTCACTGGGTGTCAGCTTGTTATTCCTCCCAACCCCCTCACTCTCCGACCTGGGGGGGCGCCCCCCCCCCCCCCCGGTTTAGCTGCACGCAGATTTTGCAGCATAAGTAATCTCGGGAAACAGCTTGAACTGGTGTTTCTCTAGAGTTCTAGAGAGATCTGATTTGGAAAGTGGATCATTTCCTGGCAGCCTGTAGGGAAAAAGAAACTTAACCCAAGAAACGAGAGTGAAAGTGGAGGAGGCTGGAGGGGGCAGCTCTCTGAGGGAAGCTCTGCTGTTCTTGCACAGCGGGGGGCGCTATCTCAAAGCCTTTTCCTGTAACTGTGGGTGACAGCCTGGCCTGACCGCTGTCCCAGGGGCAGGGCTGAGACAGCCCCCCCCACTGAACCAGCTCTAGGGACAGCAGGGAGCCAGGGCCCAGCAAAGCTGGGCAGTGTGTGTCTTGCATGTCCTCCTCCCCCCTCCCCCCCAATGGGGAGTTTATCTTCAATCCTTGCAGGCTGATGAATTCCTAAGCCAAGCTTTCTCTCCTCCCCTTCTTCCTTCCTTCTTTGCCATGTGTGTGTGTCATGGATGAATTTTCTGGGTGTTGGTTTTTGGAGGGGGGAGGGACAGGCAAGGGCTGACATGTGTTTTTGTCACATGTTTGCACGCAGGTCCGCCAGAGACAGGACAGCAGGAGGAACACACGATGCTTACTCCGTGAGGTGACCAAGGAGATGCCAAGACTCACGTTTGTTTTCTCCATTTGGATCCAACCTGCACTTCAACTTTACACCTGAGTTCCCCAAGGAATCCCCACTGCTCTTGCCTTCCCGTTTGGTGCTACGTAGGGGTGACCACACGGACTGGCTGGCTCCCCAAACCTTTGTACGCTAGTTTCCCAAGTGAGTCCCCAAAGCCAAGGCTGTCTGATCACACCAGCAGGGAGTGGAGGAAATGAAATCATTGTGCAGTAATATCAAGAGGTGGGTGACTGGGACTGGAGAGATGGCTCAGTGGTTAGGAGCACTGACTGCTCTTCCACGGAATCTGAACTCGATTCCCAGCACCTTCATAGTGGCTCACAACCATCTGTAATGAGGTCTGGTGCCCTCTTCTGGCCTTCAGGCATACACACAGGCAGAGTATTGTATACATAATAAATAAATAAATAAATATTTTTTAAAAAAATTCTTAAAGGTGGATTTGGGAGAGCTGGTCCTCCAAGATTAGCCTGACCATCACCATCCTGGGACATGAGTTGCCATGGTGACTGAGCACAGACCCCAACTTGTGACTGGGACATAGCAGAACTTAAATAAAATTGAGGGGATGATAAATTGATACTGAGTCTGTTGATATTTTTCTCTTGGGAACAGAGGAGAAAACTAGAAAACTGTCCTCGCAGAATTCATTAGCCACCACCCCTCCCTGCTTGCTGTCACAGACAGATAGCAAAGATTCTCTAAGTGCTTATGAAAGAAAACTGCTAACTGGGGGTGGGACTTGGGTGGTGCAACTGCCTAAAGTTGTGTCCAATAATCTGTACACTGCCTTGAGCTAAATCATTAGTCATGGCTGAACTTAGAAAAGTCATTCTTTGAGGGTTTGGTGTTGTCCAAATTTGGAGGTAGAGAGCTTCTTCCTTTCCCCAGGAAAGCCATGTGACACTGGGTATCTGATGATTGGTCTGCTGTGTGTGATGACAATGCCCTACTAGGTGTTGGGTACTTGGTTTTTTGTTTTTAATAAAATATCCTGACAAGAAGCAGCCTGCAGGAGAAAGGAATTCAAGGCTAGCCTGGTCTACAGAGTGAGTTCCAGGAGGAGAGCCACAACTACACAGAAAAACCCTGTCTTGAAAAACCAAGGGAAAAAAAAAATAAGATTATGGGGAAACTTGAATGCAGCTTATGGGAAACCCCAGTGGTGTCTGCAACGTGTGGGAGGGTGTGGTGTGAGCTGCAGTGCTGCAGAGGAGGGTAACGTGTCCCCAAACATCCCATGTTAAATGTCAACTGAGGAATTACCTACATCAGGCTGACCTGTGGCACTCCGTGGGGAATTTTTTTGATTGCTGATTGATGTAGGAGGGCTCAGCCCATTGTGGGAAGCACCGTTCCCTAGGAGGGAAGTCCAGGCTGTGCGAGAAAGCTGGCTGAGCATAGTAAACCATGCTTGCCAGGGAACATCTTTCATGGTCCCTGCCAACCTCTCTGGCTGGAAGGTGTGGAAGAGCATGCAGGCATCTTGGGCGCATGTTTCCCTCTGCCTTCACTGGTGGATGTGATGTGTGCAGCTGTCTCAAGCTGCTGCAGTGACTCCCCTAGTGGTGGACTGTGCCCAGGAACTGTAAGCCCGATAAACCTTCCAGGCCCTACGTTGTTTCTGGCTAAAGTGTTTTGTCATGGTGTCAGAAAGGAAACTAGGAAACACTGCCAGTGTGACTTACAGCAACGTGACGGAACCCAGCATGGAGACTCTTGGCTCTGCACTGTGTGACCAGTGCGGTGGGTCATGAGCATAGTAAGAGGTCTTGGAATGCACAAGGACCAAACTTAACTCGGTTTCAAAAGGTATAGTGTAGTTACAATGCTGCTGGCAGTGCAGGCTTGCCTTTGTCTCGGGACGTCACTGCAGCCTCTGTCCTGAGCACGCGATGCATACGATGTTGCTCTGTGTTCACGCCACTCTGCATACCTGGGAACAAGACTTAAAATTTCCCAGCTCGGGTCTGACGCTGCTGTATGTTAGGAATCGCGGTGTTTGATTGGACATAGTGTTTTGTGTTCTTACAGAGACATGGTTTGATTACAGAAGGTGCAGACAGCCGGGCGATGGTGGTGCACACCTTTAACCCCAGAACTCGGGAGGCAGAGGCAGGCGGATCTCTGTGAGTTCGAGGCCAGCCTGGTCTAGAAGAGCTAGTTCCAGGACAGGCTCCAAAGACACAGAGAAACCCTGTCTTGAAAAAAACAAACAAACAAAAAAAAAACCAAAAAAATACCAAAAAACAGGAGGTACAGACAGCATTTCCTCACGTCTAAGTGTATTGCGTTATATTAGAATGTTTGCTTTTAAAGTTCATATTGGAAAGGCTGAAGAGATGGCTCAGCAGTCGAGAGCACCGGCTGCTCTTGTTGAGGAACTGGATTCAGTCCCAGCACCTCTTGCCGGCTCACAAGTGCCTCTAATTCCAGTTCCAGGGATCTGATGCCCTCTCCTGGCCTCCAACGTTGGTGTGGTTTACGGATATACATGCAGGCACTCACACAAAATAGAAATAAAAATCTTCTTAAAACTTGGTATTTGAGTTGCTGACTTGAGTCTCATAAAACAAAACAAAAACTGCTCCAGTTTAGGATTTAGCCGGTTAGTAGTTTAGGATTTAGCCGGTTAGTA